AGCTGCTGCAAAGTGGTTGTTACGGAAGTATTTTGCAATTTCAACAACATTAGCCTTTATTTCTGGAAAGAGGTGTATTAAATGAGCACTGCAACCTTATGTTATTAGCTTGGGACTGTCTTCTAAATAATTTCTTCTCATCTTGGATACATTTGCAGCATTGTCTGTGACCAAGCTGCATACTAGACATTTGAACTTTTTTTCACAGTTTGTTATAGCTTTTACTGCTACTTCTTGTAAGTATTCTGCTGTGTGTGCATTTCCTGATGTATCAATTGTTTCTGTAAGGAAGCCTTCCCTTTTTCTGTTGTCTCACAAGCACATACAACAGGATCATTGTAGACATTGCTCCACCCATCAAGACTCAGGTTAACAATTTTACCCTCTATACCTTCTGCACACTGCTCAATTTCTCTCTCATACACTTTATCCAGTAATTTGCCTGCGACATCTGCTCTGTTGAATGGACTGTATCCTGATCTTAATGACTGAATCCTGTTAATGAAATGTGGGTTCTCAATCATACAGAAAGGAGAGTTTGTTGCATAAACAAAACAGGCAATTTTTTCATCAATCCTCTTTTTGTAATCTGCTGGTTCTTATCACAAACTTATTTATGGTTGTTTCTGGATGATGGAGATTTTTTTTTCTTTTTGCTACAGGTGATATACTGTGGCTATGTGACATACATGATGTGACTGAAACACTATCATTGGCAGATAACACTGACACTCTAGAAAATGATGGAGATCTTGAAGGTGAATAGTCTTCAGAATCCTGTATGTTGAGGATGGATTCTCCTAAACAAAATAAGTCAATGCAGTTATTTAATTATTATTACCATACTGCTCATTTAGTATTACTCATTGCATTCACTGACACTCAGTACTACTTTAAAGGTGAAATTGTAAAAGGAAGATCTGCCTAGTTCAGCTATTTATTTTTTATCATAACTGTATCTAAAATGATAGTACCATAGAGTAACAACTATATTTTTTTCTCATACATGAGAATTCAGGAATAGTCCAGAAGTAAGACAGGCAGTCCTTAAGACAGAAGTATGAAATAGAAGAGTTTACCATCTGAAGATCCTGCATTTTCAGACATGTTCCTTTCATCATCTTCAACATAGCTTCCTCCTGAGAAGGAACACTTCACATGATGTTGTTTCATTCGAGCAACCAGGCCTTGCATTGCTTTGTTGCACTGTTTGCATTTTGTATGCATGCCTGTCTTCCCCACAGGTAGAGGAACTTCATTAAAATATTCCCAAACTGGGTCTCTTTTACGGCCTGCTGCCATTATAGGTTTTCCCTTCTAGTGAGAGAATGGTATGGTAGATCTCAAATCAATGAAAGCTACGCTGAGAGAGACCTCAAGACTTCTGGAATATGCTGCTCAAACAGTTTCACTTTTGTTTCTACTGCCTGTCCCTTCTCACATTTATCTCCAGACTTCTTCTCCTTGTCCAGATCTGTTCCGCCGCCAACAATCTTCTATTCATTGAACTTTTTGAAATTTTGCACTTTTAGAGAGAGGTAAGGGATTGACTCTGTGTACAAAAATTTGCAGAGGGACAATAGGGTTGAGGTCTGTTATTTCTCACCTCTATATATTATTTATTTATTTATTTAAAACATTTTTGCTGTTAACAAGCATGTTATCGAGAACTGCAAAACTAAGCATCTCTGATGGTATCTTCTAGACTGAGCACTGAGTCCCATCGGATAGATAGAAAGATTAACCAAAATAATCTATACAAAAGCCCCTGGAACCCCATAAAATTGGGTCCCTAATCCATGAACTATTGGAACTCATTTACAAAACTTTTCTTAAACATTACATGAATATATTGTCTCATATTATAGAATTAGAATTTATAATCCCTATTCCATGATGAGATATCTTTGAGCTATAATGTATCTTAATTAAAACTATCTTTAGATAGGTTTTTCCCTCAAAAAGCATTTAATCAAAAAATCCGCTTTAAATTAAAAAAAAATGTTAAAAAAAAAAGAATCATTGATTTGTATCCACCCTGATACATAATTTGACAGAACAATGACCAGGCATGCTTTATATGAAATATAGCCATATACAAATGATGAATATTGGGATTAGAATGTGCTATCTTGAGGCACAGTGCATCACACCTAGCTTCTTGGAGAAGGTAGCTGAGGTGGCTCAGGCCCTTCTTGTCTTTCCAGGTGTCCCTAGTGGTAGGGACAGCAGTGGTTGGGATAGTAACTGACAATAATATGACCTGGTGTGCTCTGATAGTCAGGGCTTTGGAGCTGTGCTCTGGCTCCGCTCCAACTCCAGGCAAAAACCTGCAGCTCCACTGCTCTGGAGCTGCTCTGCGCTCCAGCTCCGGACTCCGCTCCAAAGCCCTGCTGATAGTGGATGTGGGTATGTGTGCAGTATTTTGGAGCAAGCCTCCCAGCCCAGGATGATACATTAGGGCTAGCGGGATTCGTGGTTGTGCTCTAAAAATAGTTGTATAGACAACATTGTGAAGTTATGGCTCAGGCTGGAACTCTGGCTCTGAAGACCATCCTCTGCCCTAGGCTTCAGAGCCATAACCACGAATTCACAGTGCTGTCTATACAGCTATTTTTGGAATAATAGTGTTAGCCCCGCTAGCTTAAGTCTGTTGACCCAAGCTGGGAGATTTGCTCCAAAATACTCTGTAGACATACGGAGGCCAGGTAGCTTCCTTACTGGCTGTTGCTCTGCTCTCTGCTGGAGACTGTTTGCACAGTCTGGTAAATAGTCTGCATTGGTTAAATATGTTTCAGATTTTCAGGCTTTTCTTCACAACTGTAAGAACCAGAAATGTTTTTTAAAATGTAATCTTAGATTCTGATATCATGTGTCTCTGGAAGCTGGGCTCCTAAACACATGGCTGTTATATCTGTGCCTTAATCTGGCTTTGTCCATACATGTATCTGAAAAGATAAAACCTGAGAACAGTGGCAGAGCATGTGATTATAGTTTAGATGTGTATTTTTATGCCTGGTGGGTAGGGCTTGGGAGAGTGCCACTCCGCCCCCCTTCCCCATTTGGGGCCTGCTCTTAATGAAACACGAATGTTCTCAAAACACAATAATTAGCCTGGAAATTCAAAGCTAAACTTCCAGGTTACTGAAAAGAAACCACCCAAAACCCAAACATTTAAAATATGCATACACCTAGCTACTATAACAAGTTAACAGATTGAACCAGAAATCTTGTGTCTTGCATTCAACTAAAGTAATACTTCATAAATATTTTTGTAGCTTTCCTAGTGCTTTTCATCTCCTTTAAACCTCAAACATGGACACCGAACCTGAGGTAAAGAAAGAGAAGAAGCAGCATCAGCATCCTTTCTACTGCAATGTGAGTACTTCATATTATTAAGGGCCTTTGACAAAGTATAATTTTATCCATTGTTGAAACGTTTGAGAGTAGGAACAAAATCAAAGAGTTTGGGGAAACCATTGAAAACTAGTTTCAGAGTGGTAGCCGTGTTAGTCTGTATCAGCAAAAACAACGAGGAGTACTTGTGGCAACGTAGAGACTAACATTTATTTGGGCATAAGCTTTCATGGGTTAAAACCTACTTCATCAGATGCATAGAGTGGAAAATACAGTAGGAAGATATATATAGATATATATATATATACAGAGAACATGAAAAGATGGGGGTTGCCTTACCAATTCAATTAAAGTGGGCTATTATCAGCAGGAGGAAAAATCACTTTTGTAGTGGTAATCAGGGTGGCCCATTTCAAACAGTTGACAAGAAGGTGTGAGTAATAGTAGGGGGAAAAATTAGCATGGGGAAATAGTTTTTAGTTTGTGTAATGACCCATCCACTCCCAGTCTTTATTCAGGCCTAATTTGATGGTGTCCAGTTTGCAAATTAATTCCAGTTCTGCAGTTTCTCGTTGGAGTCTGTTTTTGAAGTTTTTTTGTTGAAGAATTGCCACTTTTAAGTCTGTAATTGAGTGTCCAGGGAGGTTGAAGTGTTCTCCGACTGGTTTTTGAATGTTATAATTCCTGATGTCAGATTTGCGTCCATTTATTCTTTTGCATAGAGACTGTCCTGTTTGGTCAATGTACATGGCAGAGGGGCATTGCTGGCACGTGATGGCATATATCACATTGGTAGATGTGCAGGTGAATGAGCCCCTGATGGTGTGGCTGATGTGATTAGGTCCTATGATGGTGTCCCTTGAATAGATATGTGGACAGAGTTGGCAACAAGGTTTGTTGCAAGGATAGGTTCCTGGGTTAGTGTTTTTGTTGTGTGGTGTGTAGTTTCTGGTGAGTATTTGCTTCAGGTTGGGGGGATGTCTGTAAGCGAGGACTGGCCTGTCTCCCAAGGTCTGTGAGAGTGAGGGATCGTCCTTCAGGATAGGTTGTAGATCCTTGATGATGCGCTGGAGAGGTTTTAGTTGGGGGCTGAAGGTGACGGCTAGTGGTGTTCTGTTACTTTCTTTGTTGGGCCTGTCCTGGAGTAGGTGACTTCTGGGTACTCTTCTGGCTCTGTCAATCTGTTTCTTCACTTCAGCAGGTGGGTATTGTAGTTTTAAGAACGCTTGATAGAGATCCTATAGGTGTTTGTCTCTGTCTGAGGGATTGGAGCAAATGCAGTTGTATCTTAGAGCTTGGCTGTAGACAGTGGATCACGTGATGAGGTCTGGATGAAAGCTGGAGGCATGTAGGTAAGTATAGCAGTCAGTAGGTTTCTGGTATAGGCTGGTGTTTATGTGACCATTGCTTATTTGCACTGTAGTGTCCAGGAAGTGGATCTCTTGTGTGGACTGGTCAATAAGAACTCAATAATAGTGGGGGATTTCAATTATCCCCATATTGACTGGGAACATTTCACTACAGAACGAAATGCAGAGATAAAATTTCTCGATACTTTAAATGACTGCTTCATGGAGCAGCTGGTACGGGAACCCAGAAGGGGAGAGGCAACTCTAGATTTAGTCCTGAGTGCAACGCAGGAGCTGGTCCAAGAGGTAACTATAGCAGGACCGCTTGGAAATAGTGACCATAATACAATAGCGTTCAACATCCCTGTGGTGGGAAGACCATCTCAACAGCCCAACACTGTGGGATTTAATTTCAAAAGGGGGAACTATGCAAAAATGAGGGGGTTAGTTAAACAGAAGTTAAAAGGTACAGTGACTAAAGTGAAATCCCTGCAAGCTACATGGGCGCTTTTTAAAGACACCATAATAGAGGCGCAACTTCAATGTATACCCCAAATTAAGAAACACAGTAAAAGAACTAAAGAGCCACCGTGGCTTAACAACCATGTAAAAGAAGCAGTGAGAGATAAAAAGACTTCCTTTAAAAAGTGGAAGTCAAATCCTAGTGTAGGCAAATAGAAAAGAGCATAAACGCTGCCAAGTGCAAGAATGTAATAAGAAAAGCCAAA